CCTGCCCACAAAACCCCAGCGAGCCACTTTTATTTCTCCAGGTGAAAACACCCCCCCTCCCCGATACAGAAGCGAGGGGGGGGATAACGTTTCTATCTGGGACCAGACTTGACCGTTACCACTCTCCCCCGCCAGCTTCTCCCAGGCAGCGCTCCTCCCGCACTGACCACGCCCGCGTTCTACGCCACCGTTGTGGCCACGCCCCCCAGCAGGCGGGGCGGCGCACGGCGCATGCTCGGTGCCCTTTGTGTCCCGGGCTGGTTGGCTGGCGGGCGGCTGGCTCGGCAAAGGCCCGGCCGATCAGGGGGAGCGAGAGTACGGTCGCCGGGGCCCGCTCTGAAGACGAGGAGGAGGAGGAGAGAGGAGGAGGAAGAGGTGGAAGAACAAGGAGAAGAGTTGAGAGGCAGCGGCGGGCGCAGCTCCGCCATGGTGAAGAAGCGGAAGGGCCGGGTCCTCATTGACTCCGACAGCGAGGACAGCGCCAGTGAGGAGAACCTGTACCAGGTGGGTCGAGCCGCCGCCGCCGCCGAGCTGGGCCCGGAGCGCTCCATCCCCCGCCTCAGACGGGCTCGCTCTTCCCGCATGCCCAAGGGAGACTCCCTCGCCTCGTTTGCGTCGCCCCCTTTTCTGGGCTTGTGGGGAAGGGGGAGCGGAGCGCCCTGTCGCCTCAGGGAGGAGGAGAGCGCGGCGTCTTTCTTGTGTGAGGAGGGGAAGGTCTCCAGACAAGAAATGTGGTCGAAGAGATGAAGGGGCAGCGGAGTAGCGCGAACTTGCCCTCCTTGGCAGCTTGGTTTAGGGAACTTGAGAAGTCTTGTGGGGGGGGTCGACGGGGTGGAGGAAAGCAGGCTTGGTCGGGATGGGTCTACGAGACTCCATCCGTAGCAGGTGGCAGCCTGGACAAGCCAAGATGTGTGTTATGTCTGTGAACTGTAATGGGGTGCAGAGCCACCTGAATTAAGCCTCCTTTGAATCCTGGATTCAACACTTAATGGTTTTTCATGGGTATTTTTGACAGCAGGAGTAGCTAGGCTAGTAGAGTTTGGAACATTTGAAATAAGTAATTCTGCGTTGTTATTTTTTTCCATTGAGAGAATCCCTACATGGGATGCTTGATAATAAGAGCATAAGAAATAGTGTGTTGTTAGGGCAGCTTAAGGGTTGCACTAAGTGGGAGTGACTTGATGACATAGCAACAACATGTGGATCAGCCCAAAGAGCTGTTCACCTTTCTGCCCCTACAGTGACCATATCACATACCTATGGGAAGCCCATCAAAGTGGCATCAAGACAATAGCACTCTCCTCTGTTTCACAGAAGATGGTACAGAGGTGTACAGTCTTTGATAGTGGAGCAAATACAAGGCCATCGTGACTGGTATACAGTGATGGCCTTATTTTTCCATGACAGCTACACATTGGAAAAGACTGCCTTTGCTCTGTAGCCAGGTGCATGGAGAACACTGTGTGAGGTCTTTCTCTTTCTTGCGCTGAATGATTGGTCAAAAGGTCTCCCAGGCTTAGTCCTCAGGTCCATACAGCTTATGTCAGTAATGCTTTCTTTAGCCAACATTAACCCTCACTGTGTATGTGCTGTATTTGAAGTTTTATTGCCTCCTCCCCCATTGGATTACTGTTTTACTACTGAGCACTCTTCAAATCTCTCTTGGTATTTCACAGGATACAGTAATTAGTGCCAGATTTTGAATGCTGAGGTGTGTGCTCTTAAGATGCTTTCCCCCCCTCTGGTACCCAAGCCGCCTAGAGTGGTCCTCACCCGACCAAATAGGCGGGATATAAATAAAATAAATAATAATAAATAATAATAAGCCTTTAATGTGCTCGAGTATCTGTTTGCCTTCATCGATACAAGGTGCACTGATAGTGACAAGCAAGCCAGTTCTGCCCTTCTAGGGCAATAGAGCAAGTAGCAAGTGGAATAACTCTTTTTCTTCCTAAAAGCAAGCAGATTACAAAGGGTAAGGACATCCAAGAAGGAGTTCTTCAGACTTTGTGTTTTCTAGAAGAGCGTTGTAAAGTCCCATTTTGATATGTGCTCAGATTGTGGAGGCCATCAAACACTGCCGGACTTTTGAACTCTTTAATGTCCTTTGATGTCTTTTCTGTTCTTTTGTTACTATTTGTGTCATTTCCATATTATGGAGATCCAATGAATTACTGAACTCTGAAACATCCAATAGTAGTGGTCAAACCTTGTGTTAGGCAAAGGCTGTTGCTTCCATTATTGAGTTAATCTATCTCATAGGCAGTCCTCTTTTTCTGCTGCCTTAAACTTTTATTAGCATCATTATCCCCTTGTTTACCATTTTAGTATGGTATTAGTTTGGTTCTTTTTAATATTTGTGTTTTAATTATGTAAGCCACCTTGAGTCCTTTTTAAGGAGATAGGTGGGGTAAACATACTTTAAATAAAATCTATCTCATAGGCAGTCCTCTTTTTCTGCTGCCTTAAACTTTTATTAGCATCATTATCCCCTTGTTTACCATTTTAGTATGGTATTAGTTTGGTTCTTTTTAATATTTGTGTTTTAATTATGTAAGCCAACTTGAGTCCTTTTTAAGGAGAAAGGTGGGGTAAAAATACTTTAAATACATAATAAATCTCATCCAGTGCCTGTGGTCGTCTCATGTTCTTTCGAAAGTACAGTACAGTAGTTTCAATTTAGTTGTTTTGGCTTTTAGAAAGAGTTTGGCTATACAGTAGTATCGCAATACCCACTGGGTTCCAAGTCCCCTCCGTAGATACTGAAAATCATAGGTAATAGCAATCTCTCTCTATAAAAAAAGCATTTTCACATGCATTACCACACCTGGTCACTAGAGGACAACTGAGACCATGCTCTGTATTCTTCACTAAGTATTCATAGCACAGTCTCTGGTTCCTTCTACTGGCCTGTTCTGTTAATACATGTGAAAATAGTTTTTTCTGGATTAAAAAAAAGCATTTTTAGTATTTTCAGATTGTGGATAAGTGAAACCATGGATATTGATCCCATGGATATGCAGGTCCTACTGTATTTTGTCTAGCATGTACTTGCTTGTCTTTGTAATTGTCCGTTATATTTGTAAAGCAGTCTTCTACCGCTACATTTCAAATGAATATATTTTTTACGTTATTAGCTTTCTTCATTGGCCATCCATTTATATATATATATTTTGGTGCCCTAGAAAATAGTGCTTGGCAAACTATTCTCGATCTCCAGTTCCTGATTTTTCCTGTCAAACAGATGAAGTTAAGGATGGTGATATGGGCAATAGCTTGCTATGTTCTCACATAAGGCCTTGTGATCATGTGTACTGATTTGGATGTATAGTATAGTCTCCAAGGTTCTTACAAGCCATAAAGGAGGTACTTTCCTGCTATCTCCTAGTCAGAAAGTGTTTCAGATTATTGTAAGTTAATTAAGAAAGTGGTACATCTATCCATTTACAAACAAAGTACATTTTTTTCAAGTTTCCAGAATTATGGCAATAGCCACAGATGCCCTGTGATCCCAAATATGGAGGAAGGTGAGGTAAACACATTTTATATAAGTAAATAATAAATAGATATATTCCAGTGGCTCTGGTCTTCTCATGTCATTTCCAAAGTATGATCATCTAAGTTTAGTCATTTTGACTTTTAGAAAGAGTTTGGCTATATTTGTCTAGCATGTACTTGCTTATCTTTGCAATGGTTCATAATATCTGTAAAGATGTTTTCTAGCACGACTTTTCAAATGAGCTGATTCCCCCCCCCATTAACTTTCCTCACTGTCCCACCAGTTACTCCAATTGATGAACACCTTGTACAGAATTGTGCAGGATTTATGTATATAACATATACTGTATGTCCTAATGGTGGCCTATTCTGTCCTGGGAACCATGTTCTCTGTCCATGCTCTGTTGCTATTTGTTGGTGCAGTAGTGAGTTTTAATATAACTTAAATTTTAAAGTCAGATTAAGGTGTTAGGTGCCATATTTGTACCAGTGATGCACTATTTTAGTTGTAATGACCAAATCAGGGCATATAAGTAGGTTCCTTGCATTGATATTGAGTGCCCTTCCTTTTCTGAATCCAGCTTGAACATCAGACATTTTTGGGCTCCTGGGGGATTGGGGTATATATTGAATATTTCTGGTTTTCGGGCCACTGTTTTGTTTTCCATATTTATTGACCTGTTCTTGTCAGAATTTTGACAGATTTAGTCTGTGTGGCTTGAAATAGTTATACAGTATTAGTATTCTATCTACCCCTGATTATTTATTTCATTCTCATATTTTCGGAGCAGCTTTCACTTCACTTTCTAGAACTGCAGGTTCTTCATCACAGGATTCCTCTTCTGTATAGGTTTTCAGTATACTGATTCCGCCTTCTCTTTCTTTTATACTGACCAAAAAGTGTGCTTCTCTGTTGGTGATTCAGCATTCCTAATCTAAAGTGTAGGCTTAAATTTCCCTTTGATTTCTTGGATCTTCTAGAAGAGATCTGTCATTTTCCCCTTTTGTTGTTCTCTATTTGCAGTGGTTATTGTAATAGTTCTTTTTGTCTCTATGTGATAGTTGCTGACAAACTGTGTTCAGGGTTCTGACCCTGTTTCTGACATCTTTTTGTCTGTCCTTTACAATGTTAAGTGTTTCTTTCACCATATTTTCTTTTTACTTTATTAATGAAATGTCATGAAGAAAAACTAGGTTCTCTGCAGGACTTCTGCAGGAGTATTCATCAAGCTGCATATTACAGAGGTGGTAGTGCTGCACTTCTTACAGCAGAAACATACTGGTTCCAAATATCATGGTGTTCTAGACTGCACCCTCTGGTGAAATATGAAATCTGTTGTCTCTGAACAGATTCTGCAGCACCCATGGTGGAACTTGCTTTAAGTAGAGAAACTTGACATCATATTTAGCCATGATTTAGTTGTGCTTAATTGTACCTACTGTTATTCAACATCTATATAAATGACTTAAATAAAAGATTATTTAATACAGTATTGTATTCAGTATTAGGCTATTGGATCCAGTTGGCTTCCAAGTTGCAGTGTAAGGTTTACTGGCTGAGTTAGTTGGCATTCCTGTCAAAGCTCTGGTGGACATATGGCATACTGCCGCCACCAGGGCAGTTGACATGATCACACCTAAACACCCCCTGCTTTGCCAAACACGTCTAGCTGCTTGCTATAACCAGCAACTATGCGTGATGAAGCAGCATAGGAGAAGGCTTGAGAGCATTTGGAGATGGGACCTGAGGGAAGCTAAAAGCCGCAAAAACAGCATCTGACATATACTTGGCTAAAGTGAAGGCTATAAGACGATCTTACTTTGCCTCCCGGATAAACAAAGCTCGTGACCATCAAGCCAAACTTTTTTGTATTGTGTGCGATTTATCCCAGATTGGGCACATGGACAGGCCTCCCAGTAATATCTCTCGTGACCAATTTGCGGCCTTCTTTGAAAACAAAGTGGAGACCATCTGCCGGGACCTGGGTCTCTCTTCTTTACTGGTAGATCAAGCCAAGGCATCTAATGCTCCGCCTTGCCCAGAGAACCTAACACAATTTCAGCCTGTGATGTCAGTTGAGGTCGACTGGGTGCTTGACTGCTGTACGGCCACCATTTCTTCAGTAGATCTTTGCCTGGCCTGGTTGCTGAAAGCAGCCAGACCTGTAACAGTAGAGTGGGCTACTGCCATTATCAGTGGGTTTTTCCTGGAGCACAGACTGCACCTTGCTCTCAAGGAGACACTCATTAGACCAATACGAAAAAAGCCCAACTTGGCGGTGGATGAGATAAAGAATTATAGACCCGTCACCAACATGTCTTTTATGAGCAAGCTGGTGGAGAGAGTGGTGGCTGATCAGCTTCAGGCACTTCTGGAAGAGACCAGTACCCTTGATCCATTCCAGTCAGGGTTCAGGCCATGTCGTGGTATGGAGACGGCATTGGTCACCCTGAAAAATGACCTTTTGAGGCAGGCTGACAAGCTCATAATGTCCTTGTTAGTCCTTCTTGACCTACCAGCAACATTTGATACTGTCAACCACAGTATTCTCCTAGGGAGGCTCTCCAGGTTGGGGATTGGAGGTTTGGCTCTGGCCTGGCTCTGGCCCTTCCTGGAGGACCGTCCTCAGAGAGTGCAGCTTGGGGAGATGCTGTCCACTCAGTGGACTCTCAGTTGTGAAGTCCCACAGGGTTCAATCATCTCGCCAGTGCTATTTAATATCTGCATGAGGTCACTGGGGGAGATCATCAGGGGTTTTGGAGCTTCGTGTCATCAATATCCGGATGAAACTCAGCTCTATCTCTCCTTCCAACCTTCTGCATTGGATGCTGTCCCGTCTCTTGAGCTCTGGCTGGATGCCGTGCTGCGGTGGATGAGGGATAATAGACTGAGGCTTACAAGATGGAAATCATGCAGGTTGGGCCCCTAGTGTCTGTGGTCTGGGTGCTTCCCTTTCTTTTGTGGGGTGTGTGTCACACTTTCCATGAAGGATTGGGCATACTCTTGGACGCAGCAGTGTCAGGGGACTCTCAGACAGCAACTGTGGTGTGCACCGCCTATTTCCATCTAAGGCAGATCGCTCAGCTGTGTCCCTACCTTGACATCGGATTCCCTCACCATGCTAGCCCATGCACTGGTAGTCTCGAGATTAGACTACTGTAATGCTCTCTACATGGGGCTGCCTTTGGTGTTGTCACGGAGACTTCAGCAGGTCCAGAACCCGACTGCCAGACAACTGAATGGGGTGAAAAGACATAAACATATCTCCCCCACCTTGGCCACCCTGCACTGGCTGCCTGTTCATTTCCATACTTGCTTCAAGGTAGTGGTGTTAACATACAAAGCCTTAAACGGTTTGGGACCTCGTTATCTGGCAGAACGCCTCCTTCTGACCAGATCTGCCTGTCTGGTAAGATCTTCCCAGGCTGGGTGGTTGAGAGTGGTTTCAGACCCGAGAGATGTCTGAAAAACAGTGACCGGTTATTGTGGCCATAGGGAAGCCATTTAGAGAGCGTCTTTAATCTGTGACACAGACTTGATGAGACTCCTATATGCACCCCGCCCAATTCTGTTACCATGAGGAGTGTACCTGCAGTCGGTGCCAATAGGTCATTTGGAAACCAGTACAGTATTTTGAATACTTTATCACACAAACCACATGCTTCCAGCTTTCAAAGACAAGCAAGAAATTCCATTTTAGAGAACTCTCTTCTGCTTGGTTAAATAATAAGTTTCTACAATATTTCTGTTTATTAAAATATGAACACCAGTCTAGATATTGTGATGTTAGTCTTGATCAAACTCCAGTAGTCTACAGTCAATTCTATAGTACAGTACGCTCTTTTCTAATTGATTGAAATCTTTGATACATATAAATCAGAGTAGTAGACAATAGTTTAAGTAGAAGCTGGTAAACAGGGTTGGGGGGTAGAATGGGTACACCAGTACAGTGGTGCCTCGCTTAACGGGTGCCCTGTTTAACGATGAAATCGCATACCGACAAACTTTTTGCGATGTTTTAAATGGGGAAAAATCGCTTTGTGATGATCGGTACCTTGTTTCGCTTACCGATCATCACAAAGCAATGATTTTTTAACAGCTGATCAGCGGTTCCAAAATGGCCACCGGGTAAAAAAATTGGGTGCCCGCTGTTTTCTGGGACGGATTCCTCGCTTACCGGGCAGCGAAAATGGCCGCCGTATGGAGGATTTTCGCTTAAAGGTGAGTCTGAAGCCCATAGGAACGCATTGAAGGGGTTTCAATGCATTCCTATGGGCTTTTTAATATCGCAGAGCGACGAAATCGCTTTGCAGCGATTTTTGCTGCACCGATTATCTTCGCTATGCGAGGCACTACCGTATTAATAAGAAGGCAATACAAAACAGCCTTGTTTTGCAGCTGGGGAAGTTTCAAGACAATAAGATTGCTGTACTGTCTGCTAGGAGTTGCAACATTTTCCTTTGTGCCAGTTCACAAAGTTCTGCAGAAATAATTACTTCTCAGACAGCTGTCTAGTCAAGGTATCACAGCACTGAAACTATTCTGACTTTTATTTTTGGATTGGGAGCAATTAGCTGTAACTATGGTTCAGATGCCATGTAGTGATGAAAGCTTGTGCCATGCAAAACTTGTTTATCCTTAAAGTGTCACAAGACTCTTACGTTATTTTTCTAGAAAACTATAATTATTCCTATAAGGGGGGAGGGAGAGAAAAACATGAACTCAAAGGAGATATTCAGGATATTCCTTGTCACCAAACCAAGTTTGGTGATCGGGCACCATGATTTCTGAATCAAGTCATTATCATAATTTTAGTAGTTGACACTTAGCTAGAGATTTAATATTTGGGGGGGGGGAATCCATTTTTTTTCCAGAAAAAAAAAGTGTCCCCTTCAATACGCCTAGCAGTACTCATTGACCCTTAGATATCAGTTTATGCCACTTCTTTTGGTATGGGTTTCCTCCATTGGAATGCTATTGGTGGCTGAATTTGGGATAGGTGCAAGGCTTGCTTGATCTTAATTACATTCTGGTTTCCAGACTCTAATGGTCACACCCTGTTTCCCTGAAAATAAGAACTAATCTGAAAATAAGCCCTAGTATGATTTTTCAGAGTGCTCATAATATAAGCCCTTTTCCCAAAAATAAGCTCCAGTTAAGTGAAACCCCACCCTCCACCATTGTGCAGCAAGCAGAAGATGACATAACTGTATTTGAATAAATGTAGATTGCTGTACATGAAAAAAATAAAACATCCCCTGAAAATAAGCCCTAATGCATTTTTGGAGCCAAACTTAATATAAGACGCTGTCTTATTTTTGGGGAAACACGATAGAATTCTATAGAGAATCTGTGGGTGTTTGCATTTTTTATTGTTGTTGTTGTTGTTGTTGTTGTTGTTGTTGTTGTTGTTGTTGTTGTTATTTATTGTATTTATACCCCGCCTATCTAGTCATTTCGACCACTCTAGGCTTAGATATTATATGTAGAGCGTCTCCTGTGTAGTACCGTATTTTTCCGTGTATAATATGCCACCACGTATAAGACTCCCCTCCCCACTTTTCTAACCCAGAATTTCTTTCTTCAGATGAAAGTGGAGGGGGAAAGCAGGAATCATGGCAAGGAAAGTGCTTTCCCCCTCTACTTCTCTCACAAGAACATGTTTTCCTTCTCCATGTTCTTTGGAAAAAGTGGAGGGGGAAAGCAGGGATCAAAGCACTTTGATCCCTTCCCCCTCCTTACTTCTGTGTATAAAACAACCTTAAATTTTTAATCTAAACATTTTAGAGAAAAGTATTATCTTATATACAGTAATTTTAGTTAAGGGCTTCTGTGGCAACATTCCCATAAGAAAAATTTTCTCATACGGCTAGCAACTTAACTTTCCATATTCCCAGTTCATTAATACAGTATGATATACAAACATATGAGCAGGTGAGTCTTCGTAAATGTGGTTATATACTATGAGAGGTTTACAGTAATTTTCTGGTATAAATTATATGTGCATTATAGTGATTTAGAATGTCTAAGGCAATTAACATTAAAAATGTACTCAATTTAATTCCATCTAGATTTTTAAAATTGCCATTCAGCTGCTCTTAATACTGTTGGTTTTTAGAATTATTTATGTGTGTAGCTGAAGAATTTTGATTTTGTTCATCTAACATTCTGCTATTCTCTGTATACTAACGTCAGTGGACATTACTCTATAAGAAGCTGGAAATCTGTTAACATATAAGCTAATAAACATTTTCCCACTTAATAGCTAAAGAAAAATAAGAACAGTCTGTTTTTAAAGACTTTCTAAAATAATTTTTTACACTTTTTCTGTAAGTTAGTAAGGTCAAGCACATGTGACCCTTTAGGACAGAGTACAAAGAGCATGAGTGTGAAAGAAAAAGTCCTGTTTTTGTGCACTTGAGTTATATTGTAGCTATTCCTTTGTGCAGACGTTTCATTCTCAAACTAAAAAACCCTGTTTCAAATACTGCTAAGGATAAGGTAGGCAAAGAAATACTGACTGTGGATTAATGTGCTATCAAGTGGAAATTATATCTCTCATAGTTGATAGAATGTATTCATTTTTCTGTTAACTCCATACTTTTTTTCTAACAGGAGCTCCTATCATTGGCCAAACGGAAACGTGGTGACTCTGAGGAAAAGGAAACACCTGCCAGCAAGCCTACAGCATCTTCTGATTCTGAAACTTCAGACAGTGATGTTGAGGTTAGATCTGTTTTTTCCCCTGCAAGTAAACTGTATCAAACAGATCGACCT